ACGAACTTGCATCTGCAGCCGCTGCGCAACACGGATGTGACGGGGCCGTCTGGCTGCGAAGCGTCATCCCGAGAGCCTGGACCGAGGTCACAGCCCCGAGCGAAGTCGAATCATGGCTTGGCAGCGGCGGCGTCCGCAACGGTGTGCTGGACGGTGCGCTGGGGGCAGGATCCTCGAGCCAGCTAATCGTCGTGTTCGGCGACGCTTCTGGAAACTCCGACTCGAAGGACCCACGTTTCCGTCGAGTCAGGTGTGGCCTGCATGCGGTGGAGAGCGAGGGTGACCTCAGTATTACTATTCGTGGAGTTATGGTGGGACGCCTGCCTGTGAGCCAGACTGTCCCACGGGGTGAGCTGTACATGTTGTGCTTCGTGTTGCGTCTCACGACTGACCACGTTGTGTATGCCACTGTCAATGATGGTTGGTACGATCGTATATACGAGAAGTCTGTTAGCGGAGCCTCCGCTGAGTTGTGGGCTTTGATAGGCAAGGATCTGGATGGACGACCAGCGGAGCATGTCGTTGTCTTGTTTGTTAACTCGCACATGATGGCGATGCAGGCAGCAGAGGCCCACGTTGCAGGCTGGCTTGTTGATGGCAATGCCATGGCTGGCGTTGTCGCTGGCCAGGCGGCTGGGATGGCCAGGCTGCCGATCCATGCGCGGGCTCGAGTTGCCCAGGTGGGCAGACGTGTCTTCCTTGTTCGTATGAGGTTGACTCGTGCGGCGGTCGATCCCATGGAGGCAGAGGGGGCAAGTGTGCGGGCGACCAAAGCCAGAATAAGCCAGAGGAGATGGCGCCCATGTGATGGGTGAGAATCACCTGTCTCCTCTCCCTCCTTCCCAGTTGCCTCCATCGGTTTCCGCCAGGCCGTCCTGGCCTCCGCCGTGCCCCCTTGCCTGGTCTATCCTGACCAGTTGCCACGTGCCCGACGACTCGGGACGTCGGTGCCGCCGCTGCCGCAGCTCTGCGTCGATCGCGGAAGCTCGCAAGGCGATGACCTCGCCGTGTTACAAGCTCGTGGCGTTGGACGGAGCGTTGAGGGCCCTTTCCCAGGGGGCGGAGTTGCACATCGCTGGGGGTGGGCGCACAGTTCCCACAAAGTGCGATACAGCCAGTCTGTTGATGTCTGGTTTTGTGCTGAATGTGGCATGTTTGCTGATCAGCAGCTCTTGGTCTAGGGAAGCAGTGCACTCGTAAGGCTACCCCGACCAGAGCTGGACACCTTGCCCGAATTCGTGAATCCTTGTGGCCGAAGGTCTACAGTTAGACCCAGAAGGCCTCCAGAGCACAGAAAAGGGGCTCCACTGCTAAGCGCTTCGTTTGGACATCCGTCCTGGGACTCTTACCCTCACTCCTATGATTATTCTTACTCTTACTCTTACGCTTACGCTTACGCTTCCTCCTCCTCCTCCTCTTCCTCCTCCTCCATTCCAGTTCCTTGTAAGTAACTCCTCCCTGTCGCACCCCGAGGCCAATTAACAAGGCGGGCCAAGCGTTTCGCTTGAGACTTCCTCACCACGTGTGACCCTGACGCTTCAACCTTGGCAATCGTTTCACAGATGTAAGGCGGGTCGTGTTCAAAATGTGGCTCTCGCCTTAGCGCCGCGCACATTCGTTTCAAACATTGAGGGCAAGCCGTTTGGCTCTCGCCTTAGGGCCGCGTGCATCCGTTCTAAAAGTTGCAAGAGCTTCGCGGATTGAGGGCGGCTTCTTTTCGAAATGTGCCTCTCGCCCGAGCGCCGCGCACATTCGTTAAACACATTGCCAGAGTTTCACGGAATCTCATAATCACGAACCAGGAGTTGCGTTTTGGAAGGAATCGGGATTATCCAGGATAATCTCGAATCCTTCCAAAACGCAATTCCCCCATAACTTATGGGGGTGCAATAATTACGTTGGTTCGCGGTGTTGACGTCCCGGGAATGGCGTTCTGGCATGATTCAGGATCAGCAAGACGCAGCAGTCAGGTTGATACGTGGCGTTGGAATCCCGAGAGCAATGTTTTGGCATGCTTCAGGACTTCAAGTGGTTGTCTTCCAACGAGGCAGCTTCCTCAGTGGAAATGAAACGTTGTAGGGGCCTGTGAAGAGGCAGCTTGGAGGGAGGGATTATTCCAACATCGTTGATGACTCTTGGGTTTCCACTGGTCCTCCTCCTCCTCCGCCGCCTCCTCCTCCTTCTCCTGCTCCTGCTGCTCCTCCTGCTGCTCCTCCTGCTGCTCCTCCTCCTCCTCCTGATCCTCCTGATCCTCCTCCTCCTCCTCCTCCTCCTCCTCCTTCTCCTCCTCCTCCACCTCCTCTCTCTACTCCTAGTCCACTGCTCCTGCTGCTGCTCCTCCTCCTCCTCCTCCTTCTCCTCCTCATCCTCCTCCTCGTCCTCCTCCCTCTCCTCATCCTCCCCCTCCTGCTGCTCCTCCTCCTCCTCCTCTTCCTTCTCCTCGTCCTCGTCATCGTCCTCCTCGAGAACGGGGGATTGTGGAGCCCCTCGGGGTTCCAGGGCGCGCGCGCGAGGCTTTCACACTGAGTTCGCGCGTGCCTCTCAATGGTGTGCGTACTCTGTGGCGTCCTCCTCTCCTTCCGCCTCCCCCTCCTCCTCCTCCTCCTCCTCCTCCTCATCCTCATCCTCCTTTTGTTTTCTCTCTCCCCCCTCCCCCCCCCAAAAAAAAACAGACCAGTTTGTTTTGTTGTTCTTTTTTGTTGGGGGGAATGTCCCTACATTAAGGGTTCATGGTCAACCCCTACACAGAAGGATTCCTGCTGAAACCCTCCACAAGAACATTCCTATCGACATCCTCGGGAGAAGGAATCGTAACCAAATCATCCACATAAGGATTCCCGTTGGAATATGTTTGGCATCGCATTGGTATTGCGTTGGCATTGCGATGACAGTGCGTTGGCATTGCGCTGGCAAGTCCCAACCAAACGCTCCACAGAAGGATTCAGAGTGAATACGCCCACCTCCTCCTCCTCCTCCTCCTCCTCCTCCTCCTCCTCCTCCTTTTTGTTTTTTTGTTTCTTTTTGGGGGGGAGGGGAGAGAGAGAGAAAACAAAAAGGAGGAGGAGCATCCTAGAATCCGCAGCCCTACATAGAAGGAATCCTGTTAAAGCCGACCACAAGCGATTCCCCCAGGCATTTCATTGGGATTGGATTGGGATTACCATGGCATTGGTTTGGCATGGCGCTGGCTGGCACTGATTTGGCGTTGCGCTGGCGAGTTCTAATGGCTCCCACCATAGAAGGATTGAAACCTTCCACGCGAGGGGTTCCTTTTGAAAATCCCCACATGAAGGTTTCATGGTCAACCCCTCCACAGAAGGAGTCCTGTCGAAACCCTCCACAAAAAGATTTCTATCGACATCCTCCGAAGAAGGAATCGTAACCAAATCATCCACATAAGGATTCCTATTGGAATATGTTTGGCATCGCATTGGTATTGCGTTGGCATTGCGATGACAGTGCGTTGGCATTGCGCTGGCGAGTCCCAACCAAACGCTCCACAGAAGGATTCAGAGTGAATACGCCCACAAGAATGATGCCTACGGACCCCCCCACAATAAGGATTCACATGGCAATCCTCCACAGACGGGTTCCATGCGGATCCCTCCACAGAAGGATGCCTATTGAAATACTCCGAAGAAGGGTCCTTAGAAGGATTCCTAAGTGGATGACATCATCCACAAAAGGGTTCTTAGAAGGATTGCCACTGAACGCTGCCACAAACAATCCACCCCAGTTGCGTTGCATTGGCATTAAGTTTGGATCGCCTTGGCGTTGGTTTGGCATTCCGTTGGCACTGCGTTGGCATTGCGCCGGCGAGTCCGAATGCCCCCCTTCGCAGGACGATTCAGATTGAAACCCTACACAATCAAGATTCCTTTTGGAATTGATAACAAAGGATCCCCCCCATTGGCATTGCAGTGGCATTGGATTGGGACCGCCTTGGTATTGGTTTGGCATTGCGATGGCACTGCTTCGACATTGCGTTGGCATTGCGCTGGCGAGTCCTAATGGCTCCCTCCGCAGAAGGACTCCTACTGAACCCCCCACAAGAAGAATTCCGAGTGAAACCCTCCACAAGAGGATCCCTATCGAAAACCTCCGCAATGGCATTCCTATTGAAATCCTCCGAAGAAGGATTCGTAGTGACACCGTCCACAAAGGACTCTTATCAAAATCCACCGAGCGAAAGGATTCCCTCATTGGCATTGGATTGAGCATTGCTTTGGCATTGAGCTGGCATTGCGCTAGCGAGTCCTTGTGCCTCCCTTCGCACAACGATTCCTATTGAAACCCTCCGGAAGTAGGATTCCTCTTAACATCTACCACAAAGGCTCCCCCCCATTGGCATTGCACTGGCACTGGATTGGGATCGCCTTGGTATTGGTTTGGCATTGCGATGGTACTGCTTCGGCATTGCGTTGGCATTGCGCTGGCGAGTCCTATGGCCCCCTCCGCAGAAGGACTCCTACTGAACCCCCCATAAGAAGGATTCCGAGTGAAACCCTCCACAGGAGGATCCCCATCGAAACCCTCCACAGAGGCATTCCTATTGAAATCCTCCGAAGAAGGATTCATAATGACACAGTCCACAGAGGATTCTTATCAAAATCCTCCGAGTGAAAGGATTCCCCCCTTCACATTGCATTGGCATTGACATTGGTTGGCAATGGATTTGTATCGCATCGGCATGCGTTGGCCTGGTGCAGGAGATAGACAGAGAGGGACAAAGAGAGAGAGAGAGAGAGAGAACACGAAATAACGATGTAACGAGAGAAGCGTATAATGAGGGGATCACGGCGAACAGACAAATGGCAAAAAACATCAAAGTTTATAAAGATGAAGGAGCGTTCCACTCGATAACAACTATATGAAAACGACGAGGGGTTCCACAATCCCCCGGCCTCGAGAACCTCCTCCTCCTCCTCCTCCTCCTCCTCCTCCTCCTCCTCCTCCTCCTCCTCCTCCTCTCCCGCGCGAGGAAGCCAGCCAGCTGCGGCCTGCGCAGGTGCAGGCCCGGCCCTGCGCGGACGGCCAGAGCCCCGTCACCACAGCGCCCCGCAGCGGTCGGCCTGCTCACAGCGAGGGGGCTCTCGTGCGCAGGGGGCCATCGGATGAAGAAATCAGGCTCGAGTTTCGAGGTTCGAAGTTTCGAGGTTTCCAAGTTCGGGGTTCGAGATTCGAGAATCGGGTTCGAAGTTTCCGGACGTGTTCTTGACTTCTTTTCGGTTTTCCAGCCGCGGGATGCTTTCCATCAGCTGCACCTCACCGAGAGCGTTCTGGAGGTGCCCTGATCGCCCCGAACGGCCGCTGGAGACCCGAGTTATGACCCCTTTGAACTTCAAGGTTCGAAGGTTTCTTGACGATTTCCGCCTTCAAGGTTCGAAGGCTTTTTGACGTTTTCGCCTCTTTTGTGAGCCTCTGGGGGGCTTCTCGTCGCCACGGCTGGATCCGCCTCGGAATTCTGGGCCGGGCGCGCCCCAGAGCAGGTGGGGAGGTCGACTTCTGACCCTCAAACCCACGTGCATGACGGGTTCAAATACACCAAACCAAAAAACCTTGCCATCTCTGGGGGGGGGGGGGGGGGGGGGGGGGGGGGGGGGGGGGCGATTTCTACTTCCGCCGCTTTCCGCCGAGCTTCCGCCGGCGGAGGCGGCCTCGTTTTACTTCCGCCGACCTTCCGCCGAGGAAGATACTGCAACTCCTTCGATCCTCACACGCGAGGCCCCCGTGAATCCCTCACATCTCCGCTCGCGCTCCCGCTCCCGGAGTCTCACTGCGCCCTCGGCGCCCTCGTCGCAGGCGCAGGGGGCGCAGAGATGGAGGCGTGCGGGTGCCCCCCTTCGCAGCGCAGGGGGGGGGGGCGCCCCGTGCACCTCCGCCGCGCCCGCGCAAGGGGGACATCCTGGGCCCTGGCGTGATTGCACGCGCCGCCTTGGCCGAGGCCAGGAGGGTCCATGCACCATCCTGGGGCCCAGGATGGCCCTGGCCAGGCGTGGCGGGGTGGTGGTGATGGTGGTGTATACAAGATGCTCATTCTGGGGACCTTCCTGGAGCTCGCTCCACTCGTGCGTCGAAGTTGTGTCGAACGTCCGTCGACTCGAGTCGAACTCGAGGAGCACCGGCAGAGGGTCGATGTCGACGAGGAGACGTGCGCTTCGCAAGGGAGGAGCACACGAGAACGCACGTGCCGCTGCAGCCCGCTGCAAGGGGGACGATGGGGGACGAGTACGGACGTGCTCACAACCGCTGTCCCTCGCTCCCCGCGTGCCTCCCCTGAATCACGAGGTGATTTTCCTGCTGCAGGCGGCCATGTCGCCGTGACTTCCCACGGACACCCGCCGCCACCCCGTGGGCCGGCTAGGCGAGGGGACGTTTTGCCACTGGCACGGCGGACGCATAATGGTGATTGCACGAAGGCCTGGTCGCGGGATCGTCCCTCTTAAGCCTTCACGCTGATGGTCCATCAAACGCTTGCTTGGGAGGCTTTCAGAACAGATCGTCAGGATGTGTCGTAAAGAGTCAAACGAAACGCTGGTTTAGGCACTCTCGACCCATCTCCTGTCATAGCCCCAAGAACACCCCGAGGCAGCAGGCATATCACTTGGGCACACCAAGGGGGAGCCGCCAGGGATCGCTCAGTCGCCACCAGACATTCACACACACACACACACACACAAGCGCAAAGAACTGAGATGCACAAGTGGGGATATCCGCATCGATTCTTTTTTTTGGGGAGGGGGAATCCCTTGTAAATGTGAGGCCCTGCACGGTACGCACTGCTCGCCACTGCTGAGGGCGGCGAGACCGCGAATCTCCTGAGCGGTGGCATCCAGTTGCGTCACAAAACGGCCCCGGCAACGTGTCTGGCGCGAGAGGTCGGGGCGGGAGAGGGTGGCCAAACGGTTATAGAGAGGACTCCAAAGCGAGAGAGCCAGTTCGGGGGGATGGCCGAAAGGAAGATTGAGGATGGAGGAGGGCGAGGGTAACGAGGAGTTGAAACAGGAGGAGGAGCGACCGTCCCGAAGGATGAGGAGAGGATATTTGACGAAGAAGATGGAAGAGGAGGAAAAGGAGGAGGCGTCCTCAAGGATGAGGAGGGGGGCCCTTGGGAGCCCGGCATGCCTTGAACAGGTCCGCGGACTGCTTGTAGCCCACGCTCTTGCCGCCGCTCTGAGTCGGGGGCCTCCACGTGCCCTCCTGGGCTCTGTGCTCGGTCCCGCCTCGGTCCCCGCCCATCATCACTCTCCTCCCCCCCCGTCTGGTATGGACTGGTCGTGCGCACTCAAGTGGGGCGCGTTGTGCCGATACCCTGGGCAAAAGGGCAGGCATGGCTGTCCCGATTGGGGCCCTTGCAGTTGGGCGAATGCCTTGCGCACGTGCCCGCACTGCGGAGACCGGGTCTCGCAACTGCGAAACAGCCTCCAGGGTCCCCGCAGCATCGCAACTCGTCTACTCCTTCATCCATCCCTCTTCCGTGCAACAAATTCCTCCTCGTCGCACGGCCAGGCGTGCCAGCAAAACGGGCTGGGCATTTTGCCCAGGACCTCAGCACCGCTTATGGCCGTGAAGCCAAATTCTTCAACAATTGCACGGATGAGCGGCGGGCTGCTGGCCATGCGTGACTCCCGCCCTAAAGCCGCGCAGATTCGTCGTAGAAGCTACCAACTGTTACAAGGACGCAAAGCGGTCCGTGTTCATTCACACCTTGGCTTCGCCTTTACGTAGCACACATTCTAATGATACCGGAGAAAACCCAATCATAATATTCTTAGGGCTGTAGGGCTATGGGGCTATACGGTTATAGAACCATAGGGCTAGGGCTATAGGACTATAGGGCTATAGGGCTATAGCAACGTAGGGCTGTAGGGCTACAAGGCAATAAGGCTATAGGCCTATGAGGGCTATAGGGTTATAGGGCTATAGGGCGTTTGGGCTATAGGGCATAAGGACTATAGGGCTATAGGGCTATAGGGCAATAGGGCTATAGGTCTATAGGGATATTCCCCAATCAGAGCTTGCCTCTGTAGGGCTCCTAGCGGATTCAAGGTTTAGGTGAGAGGTGCGGCCGATTTCGGTGCCCAAGTGCCCGGCGGTGCCCGGGTGCCCGGGTGGCCGGTGAGGTGCGTGGCCGATTTCGGTGGCCGGGCCCGGGTGCCCGGGTGCCCGGGTGCCCGGGTGCCCGGGTGCCCGGGGTGCCCAATAGCCCAATAGCATATAGCCCAATAGCCCAATAGCCCAATAGCCCTATAGCCCTATAGCCTTATAGTTCTACAGCCCCATAGCCCTATAGCCATATAGCCCCATAGCCCTATAGCCCTATAGCCCTATAGCCCAATAGCCCAATAGCCCTATAGCCCTCTGGCCCGATAGCCCATAGCCTTATAGCCCTATAGCCCTATAGCTCTACAGCCTTATAGCCCTATAGCCTTATAACCCAATAGCCCAATAGCCCAATAGCCCTATAGCCTCATAACCTTATAGCTTTCTAGCCCTAGGGCTGTAGCTACAGCCAGATAGCCCCAACAAAAATCTGATTGGGGTTTTTCTCCGGTGTCATAGGGCTATAGAACTATAGGGCGATAGAGCACTAGAGCACCCGGGCACCCCGGGGCACCCGGGCACCCCGGGGCACCTCGGGGCACCCCTGGGCACTTCCGGGCACCCCTGGGCACCTCCGGGCACACCCGGGCACCCGGGCGTGCGGCGAAAATCGGCGGCAAACCTAACCTAACCATATGAATCCGCTAGGACCCCTACAGAGGCAATACTCCGACCGCTACAAGGATTGAGGGCGGGCAATTTAGATGTGCGTATGTCTCTATATCTTTCTGTTGCGCCACGCACACTAGATTTGAACACGTCCGGCAACTGCAAGAATGCATGGCGGGCAGTTTGCATAAAGTGGCTCTCAATTTGGCGCCGTGCAAATTCGTCTTAAATAAATCCAGCGCACAACATCGGAGCGCGGTTCGTGTTGTCAACATGCGGCTAGCGCAGTTTGCGCTGCGCGCACTCGTCGTCAAACCCTCCAGCAGCTACGATCATGGAAGGCGGCTCCTGTTCAAAAGTGCCACCTTTGCTCAATGCCTCCTGGATTTGAAGGACCGCGCGCGTAAGATCGCGCAGCAGCTGCACGGATGGCAGGCGGCCCTGCCCAGAACGGTGCTCTCGCCAGTTCGGGCGGGCCCGTGGGGCGCATGTCTGTCAAGGAGCAGCTTCGCGCAGTGAGAAGGAATGCTTAGATGGAGCTTCCGAGGGAATCTGTGACGGGATCTTAATGTCCGGCCGATCACAAGGCGATCGCACGCGCCAGATCACGTGATCAGATCACACTGGCGAACGCTGCGATGATCACCATGGTGATCACGCAGATCCCAGACTGGTCACTGCGATCAGTGATCTGTGATCGGGATCCCTGGCAATAGAGGCCCGATCACAGCCAGTGGGGCCATATCCTTTAACGGCCCGCGTCGCGCCCGCGCACGCCTGCGGAGCAAGCGCGGGGTCGCACGAGATTCGCGCGTCGTGTTAACGTCGCTCGCAAAAGTCTGACCTTCAACTCTGGCGCAATTCTTGCGGGCGAACGCAGTCCACGCGGCGCGCCTGGATCGCGCGCCAGCGACGAAGTGGCGACGGGGGGCCGCCTGGCTATGCCCATGAAACATTGAACAAAGCCAACAAGAAGCCCAAGCCGACAACTCCGCTCGGGCTAGCGATCGGCCCGCGATCGGGCCAGCGATCGGCCTGCGATCGGGACAGGGCCCCCGTGGCCCCCAGGGTCGAGTCTCCAGGTCACCCTGGACCAGCAGCGCTTCGACCAGGCCGCTCCGCGCCCGCGCGATTCCGCCCCCGACCCCCCCCCGCCAGCTCGCCTGCCGCGGGGGGAGCAACGGGCTGCAGGAGAGACATTGCCCGCAAATGCCAAACGACCCTCGCTGCTGCAGACCAGGGCGACAACGTTCAGGAGATCTTCCTGATCGCTAACAAAGCCAGCCGCGCCTGCAACCTCACCATCCATTGCGATAAACCACAACCCGCCAACGATGAATCGCGCCAGCGAGTTCCTACTAGACACGGAGACGCACCCGTGTTCATCCCCTCCCCTGTTACCCCATGGGCGTCCACCGAGCGCGGGGCCGCCACCGAGCGCATTGACCGCCTTGACAAGCTGAGGCGCAAACTCACCGAACTCCGCTTCATCGCCACCCACAACCCTCGCGAAAAACGCCCCCCCCCCCCCCTCCCCCGACGGCAGCAACAACATTACCCAATGAGACAATGAGAAAACTAACTACACATGGGCAGCCGCCCGCGCCCTGGCCGGTCGCCTTCGGCCAACCGCCCTCGTCGATTTCCCGCAACCGTGGAGCGACCAAGCCCCTCCGCGCGGGGAACAGCTGGACGGACTCATCGCCGACGTGGAGAAAGAAATGCGCCGGCGCGGCCAGAAAGCTAACCAAGGCCGAACGCGCCAGGAACTGGACCAACCGCATGCGACAAACCGACGGGAGACAGGATGCCGCGTGCGCCAGGGCAGGGGACAACTCATCAACTGCCTATCTGCGCGCGCCCACGGACGGGAAGCTCGAAGCTTGCCTCCGCGCCAAACCTGGAGGTGACAGCCACGCGACCACCACCGCGCCTGACGACGACGACGACGACGCCCTGAGCTCTGACAGTAGCTCGGACAGCGACACCTCGAGCGCGCCCCCACCTGCGAACTCCACCCTGGCCGACACGAAAGCCAAGCTCAAAATCATGGTCGACACGCGGGAACCAATGCTTGCGCGCTTCCGCCCCGCCGGATGCGGCGGGGGCGAAGCCGCGCATACCTGGGCAGACTTTCGCAGCGAGTGCGCCCGCGAGCTCCCCCACCCACAACCGGCCATCCCCATCGCGCTCGCGGACGAAACCGTCATCGACTCCATGCGTCGTCGCCCAGACCGTCGGGCGGGAGGAGTGGACGGATGGGCCACCCGAGAAGCGAAGGGCCTCCCTGGCGCCATTCTGCGACTGTGCGCCCAAGTCCTTTGCGCCATGCAACGCTCGGGTGACATGTCCGAACCGCTTCTCCACGCGCCCAAACCTTGCTTCCGCAAGGGACAAAGGGAACTCCCCACAGACCGGTGTCTCCTTTCAGTCATGTCTGTTTGAATGCACGCGTGGGAAGGCCCTGTCCTACCGTTGTCTGGGCGAGTGGCGGAAAGGATGGGCCCGCCCTACCAGCCTTGGAGCAGTGCCCAAAGCCGCCTTTGGTGACGTCAGCACCTCGCTCGCCCCGAGGGTCGAACAATCGACATCTCGCCCTCCCCCTGGCGGGAACCGCCCTCGAAATGCAGAAATGCATCGATGACCCCATAACCGAAATCTGCCCGGCGCTTGCCCTGCGTGCGGGTTGCCCGCTCGACATCGTCGACGTCCGACGCAACTTCTACGCGACACATCAACGGTGCATTTGCACGGGCAGAGCATATTCCCAACCGCTATGCCGCACAAGCGGACACCTGCAAGGTAGCTCCTGGCCCCTCGACGACATAAAACTTCTCATGGGCGTCTGGACAAGTCGTCAACGCCGCTGCGCCCCCCGCTCGCTCCGCACTACTCTTGTAGATGACAGCAACTCCACCGCGGTCTCGGCGGATGACCTCCGGCGACCCCTCGAAGTTACGACCGCGCCCGATCGCCTCTCGGGCCAAAAAAAACACCCTGGAAAGGTGGCGGGTTGGGCCCTCAACCCTGACCTCCGCGGCCAGACTTCCCACCTGAGCTCAATGCCAAACCCCTAAGAACCCAGGGCCACATCAAACTCGTCGGCAGCTACATCAATGTTGAGGCTGAGCCGCTCCTATGCGCTCTGAACCTTACGCGCGCCGCCGACGTCCGAGTCAGGGGGGCCTGCCGGCGGCCCCCTCGCATCGGCCGTCTCTACATGGAAGCCAATGCCCGACAGGCCAGATCTCTAGCAGCCAGCGTCTGCACCAGTGGGGCCGACATCCAGGCGCCTAGCACCAAAGCCACGGCCGCCTACAGCAAAGCTCTCTTGGCTGCCGTTCGCCCCAGAGGAGGCCCAGGCCTCCTTTTCAATTGCCTTGCGGGCGGCGATCACACGCAGCAGCGCTGCGCGCGCCAACGTATCAGCTGATCCAAGCCCACTTTGCAGGCACTGCGACAACGACGAGGAGACGCAAGAGCACACC